GATATATTATTTAATAAAAAATTATATAATATATATAAATAGTTATATAAGATAATTAATATTATGTTGTTTTCACGTAGATGTATAATTTAAAAGTATAATCCCACTCCTTACACATGTAAAACAATTGAATAATATAACGGTAAGATTTTCAGACTGTTTTGAATCAATTAATGCAACAATTATTATAACAAATTCATACATTAATATGTTCCTACCATCTTCAGATTATCAGTTTATTTAAATATTTTACCGCTGACGGGTGTGACATGAGAATTAACGATTGCTAAAGTCACTGCCCACACACATCTTAAAATAGATATTTACTCTTTGACTGAAGTGTATTTTCACTGGATAACATTTTATAATGTTTGTTAATTCAAGTACAGGACTATTGTAAGACACACTTCATTTGATTATGAAAAGTGCATGTTGGATTAAGTTTGATTAAAAATTTTGATGGTTTAATTTAATGATAAAAGCACACATATGAAAACATTTGGTTGCCATACTTCCTGGTCATTCAGCATTCTACACTGACTTTATTGCATTTTAAAATCTTACTAACAATTATGCCCCCGAAGGGAGGCATATTAAAATCGCACCGTCTGTCTGTCCGTCTATCCGTCTCCACTTCATTCGTGTCCAGACTGTAATTTTGTCATACATTGAGGGATTTTAAAATAACTTGGAACAAATATCTACCACATCAAGACGATGTGTCGCGTCCAATAATCACGTCCCTACCTCAAAGGTCAAGATCACACTACTATTTTGAAGTTCACTTTATCACAATTAGAGTTTATTGGTACACACATTCGTGTCCGGACTGTAACTTTGTCATGCATCAAAGGATTTTAAAATAACTAGGCATAAATGACTACCACATCAAGACGACATGTCGCAACTAAGACACATGCCCCTACCTTCAAAGTCACACTAATAGTTTGAATGTACTCATTCTCAGGAGAAGAGTTTGAATAGACACATTCATGTCCGAACTGTAACTTTGTCATTCATGGAAGGATTCTAAACTTGGCACAAATGTCTACAACATCAAGACAATGTGTCGTGGCTAAGGCTCATGTCCGTCCTGTGTCCCCACTTACACAACAATCATGTTCAAACTGTAACTTTGTCATGCATTGAGGAATTTTGAAATAACTTGGCACAAATTTTATAACTACATTATGTCATGTTGGCAGGCGTTCCCCATGTTTTTAAAACAAAGCTCTCATGATGGTCATTCTATCTGCCATCTTCCCCATATTGCACGATATCAATAAAAGGAGTCCAATTCAAATTCATAAAAAAAATTCAATAGGTATATTGTATTTAGATCATATTGTATTATATTGTGCTTCTCTTAGTTCACGGTACTTAATGCTTTCAAACAAGAAGGGAAACAATAAACTAATGGTACAAACATGTCAATACCTGTAACATTTAGTTATTTTCAGATTGATGTATCCGTGCGCATGAAAAACCGAAACGCGAACATGTCGTATTTTCGCCCTCCTGTCGTATTTCCGCTTTGTTGCCTCGAAAATCCGAAAAAGCGAAAACACGAAAGGACGACAAAGTCTAGCTTTGCCGTCCCTTCGTGTGTTCGTATTTTCGCATTTTGAGGCGAAGAAACGAAAATACGACATGGCGTAAATCAGCCACCATAGTATTAAAAAGGGAATTTACCTGTTTTAGCCATGAGCTCGTGCAGCCAGCATTCACTGTAAAAGAAAATTACAAGCATATAGTACTCAACTTTTCCTAAGCTCATAATGAGTATGATGAATTACGGCAAACACAGACAAAGCAGTATGTATGATTTCCGGACCTACCCGATCTTTACATCTAGCATTAAGGTTTTTGCGATCTGAAAACATTGCTGAATCGTGTAAACTATGTAAATTCAATTATTCAATATTATTTTTTTTTATACTTTTCATAATATAGTGGGAAACTTTTGGTGCTAACTAGAATTTTAGTAGTGTACTATTTTCATACAAGTATATTGAAATTATTCTTTTTCTTCAAACTATAATCATTAAATTACGTCAGCAGATAAACATGCATAGCACATGCACAAACACGTTTAACATCTAGAAGAGGACGATATGATGATGTGTTTCCTTGTTCATCCAATGAGTTTCAAGCATTTCACAGACTTTATACAGTCAACATAACTAAAGTAAACTAGTATTAATTTGCTGTAGTTTTTAAATAAGATAATTTAATAACAAACATAAAACTGTTTCTAAGAAGTTTGTAACTGAACGCATAAGGGCCAACAATTGATTTCGTGACAAATAAAATGATTTTCTTTCTTTTACAAATTAGATTGAAATAGGCAATTTGCCAGCGCAAATCAAAATATTTCTCACGGTTACTAAACGTTCAAAAGTCCCTATGGAGATTTTCTTAAATTAAGAAAAAAATTAGGGAAGAATTTTACTACTATTTCTGTTAATCAGATTTTGTTTTGCTCGTGCGCTTATTGTTTCTTTCTTTCATAGTTTCCTTGATTTTATGTCTTTAAAGAGTTGTGCAAAATGTATATTTTGTTCGATTGCATGTGGCCTTCAAAGTAAAGTCGTTTTGTCAATTCGTGCAAATGGGAATAAAAAGAATAATTCTGAAAAATCAAACCGTGAAGACATCAACAAATTGTTTTATTGTTTTAGTAAAAAGGTACGCTTTCATTTTCATATTTGCACAATAAAGGAATGTGTGTGAAAAATATGGAGTATGAGTGAGCAACTGGTCTGTAAGTGTTAAACATCTCCTCTTGGTATCAATGGTTCTCGAATTCCAGACAGTAGTTGCGAAATAGTACGGAAACGATTATTGCTCTATATGTAAGGGTCATAACTCTGTCTTGGAGGGTCTGACCGGAACGAGGTGATGATATGCACATCTTATTTTGGAATTGATTGTTCCCACAAATTATTTTTTTGAATTCCACGGAAACGATTATTGCTCTATATGCATACAGCATAACTAATCAAGGCTCAAAAAATGTGTTGAATGGGGCTAACCCGGAAATCAATCCCAATCACATCTCCTATGGTTTGATGGTCCCAAAAATTTTTTTGGGAAATCCAGGCCCCTAGTTGCAGAGAAATGCGCGGAAACGATTTTTGCCATATGCATATTTGGACCTATCCCCTTTTGTTTAAGGGGTTGACCCCCAAACAAGGGAAAGATAAAGCAAATTCCCCTTAGATTTTATGTTCCCCTAAAGTTTCGTTGAATTCCAACTGGTAGTTGCAGAGAAATAGCACAGAAACGAAATTCGGACTTTTTGCATACTGTATAAAATATCAAAGGCCACAACACTGTGTTAAAAAGATCTGACCCACACAAGGCGAGGATATGCGCATATCCTCTTAGTATTGACGGTTTCAATAAAGTTTCGTACAATTCCAGCCTGTAGTTGCAGAGAAATAGCGAGAAACGAAATTCGGACCATATGCATATTGCAGAACTAATCAAAGGCCACAACACTCTCTAAAAGGTCTGACTAGAACAAGGCGACGATGTGCGCATCTCCTTTTTGTATTGATGGTTCCAATAAAGCACGGAAAACGAGATTCAGACTATTTGCATGCTGTATACTAATCAAAGGCCATAACAACTATATGCATACTGCATAACTTATCAAGGGCCATAACTCTGTGTTAAAAGGGCTGACCCAAACAAGGCGACGATATGCGCATTTCCTCTCAGCATTGATGGTTCCCATAAAGTTTCGTTAAATTTCAGCCAGTAGTCGCAGAATAATAGCAAGAAACGAAATCCGGACCGTATGCATACAACTTTACTAATCAAGGGCCATAACTGTATATAACAAGGTCTGACCCAAACAAGGCATTGATGGTTCCCATAAAGTTTCGTTAAATTCCAGCCAGTTGTGGCATAGATAGTAAGAAACGAAATCCGGACCATGTGCATATACAATTACTAATCAAGGGCCATAACTCTGTGCTAAAAGGTCTGAACTAAACAATGCGACGATATGCGCATCTCCTCTTGGTATTGATGATTCTCATAAAGTTTTATTGCATTCCAGCCATTAGTTGCCAAAAAATAGCGAAAAACAAAATTCGAGCTTTTTGCATACTGTATAACTACTATCAAGGGCCATATTTAAATTTAAGCCAGTAGTGACAGAGAAATAGCAAGAAACGAATTCCAGACCATATGCAAACAACATTACTAATCAAGGGCCATAACTCTGTGCTAAAAGGTCTGACCCAAACAAGGCGACGATATGCGCATCTCCTCTTGGTATTTATGGATCACATAAAGTTTTGTTGAATTCCAGCCAGTAGTTGCCGAGAAATAGCGAGAAACATATTTCGGACTTTTTGTATACTGTATAACTACTAATCAAGGGCCATAACACTGTGTTAATAGGTTTGACCTAAACAAGGCTAAGATATGCGCATCTCCTCTTGGTATACAGTTTCGTTGAATTCCAGTTGTAGTTGCAGAGAAATAGCGCAGAAGCAAAATTCGGACGGACGAACAATGCCAAAACAATATCCTTCTCCCGATTCCATTTATTATTATTATTATTATTATTACTATTATCATTATAATTATTATTATTATTATTATTATTATTATTATTATTATTATTATTATTATTATTATTATTATTATTATTATAAAATAATCAAGTTAGATTAAATTTAAATGACAATACTGTTCATTTCCAAATTTAAAAGTAGAATCAAAGTTAAATCTCAAACCTAATTGTATTTCGCCAGAGACAATTATTACCGGTGATGGTAATATTAAGAATAGAGCTAATTTCAATATTAACAAACTATAAATAGATCTATACAGATTTGTTTTACTTAATTTTAATAAAACATGTTGTACTAACATCTCTAATTATGCCATTACTTATATCGTAAATACTTTGACTCGTATTACATTTAGCAAAATCTGAACAACTAATCTGACTTGTAGATTTCCCCTTTGTTTATCTTCAGGTAAATTGGTTCCTCTGCTTGAAAATGGAATGCTTCATGTTTCAATACTGACGATGATTGCTATGACGACGGAACGTTTCTACTCCATTATCTACCCGTTTAGAAATCTCTCCAATTGCTCCGAGACCTCCACAGTTAAAATCATTTTTGCTCTGTGGATTATAGCGTTTATCTGTACCTCGCCTTTCTTGCTGATAACAACATTAGAAGATGCTACATTTTATGACGGAACTCACGTGAAAGTTTGTCGAACTATAGTTCGTTTACTGTGGCATAAAGTCTTTATTGTAGCAAACAATATAGCGTTTTTCGTTATCCCGTTTTTTGTTCTGATATATATGTATTCGAGAATTATCAAGAGACTTATGTCTGATAGGCTTTCAATAATAATGTCAAACGACATAAGTGCCAGAATAACACTTCAAGCCCGGAAACAAGTAGTAAGGACTTTGATTCTCATAATGATTTTGTTCTTTGTATCGATGTGTCCTTTAAGAGTAGTGACTCTTTGGCAAATCTTCACACCAGTGTCAGAACTTGATAACATTGGAATAGAAGCATACTATAACATCATGTGGTTTGCAAGATGTATGATGTACCTCAACAGTGCTGGAAACCCTGTCATCTATAGTTTATCATCAACAAAATTCAAGATGGCTTTTCGTAGGGTTTTAAGTCAATGCAGACCTTGCACATTAACAACACGTCCTTCTCCACCAACAACAAAGGTTCTATACAGGGCATCAAAAACGAAGCAAGGCTCCAGTAATGACGGTCATGAATATATTCACCGTGAAACAAATGGAACTAATTATACACGGAATGGTGATCTAGAGCTCAGATTGTTATCTTAATAATAGCAGTTAAAACAGTGTGATCATAAAAGTGGTTTTAAATGAGCCATAACGGAAAGCCACAATAAAAATAATCATAATACATAAAAGGGATTGATGGGTTAGATCACTGTAAAGTTCATCTTGTTCCGTTTATAAATAGAAAGAAATATAAGAATAACTTCAAACAAATATTTTTGGCAAATAAAATCATGTTACTGCATCTGCGTACGGCTAGCTGTTGTGTCATACTTATGCGGACGTTTTTTGTGTCGTTAGTAGTAAATTCACACACACACGCACGCACGCACACGCACACACACACACAACTTTAAAACAGAAAACTGTGTAAATATGTATATTCCAGAAACTGCAGAAATCACTATTAGGCCGTGGGTCAGTGCACCCAAAGAAATTCTGTACACTATGATTTTCTAAAATCATTTCTTGTGGGGTACATGCTCTTGTTTTCTGCTATCTGACTAATTGGCATTAGAAAGATATGACGAAAAAAAAATTACATGCACCTACCTTTTTATACAAAATATTGACAAAGGGAAAATGACAAAGTTTCACTGACCATATATCTTCAGGTATTGCTGTAAATTATCAGATAAAAAGACATTTATTAAAAATTAATTCATACTGTCGATATTTTTGCGTGACATGACATTCAATAAGCTCCCAATATTCAATTTTATTTTTCAATTTTCCAATACAACAGTGTTTTGTGTTTATTGCAAAAACAAAATGATATTTATACAAAATCTCTTTTGTTTGTTTTGGCAAATTTAATGATATTAAATATTTAAATATGTAAATGTGTTCTCGAAATTGTTCTCGAAATATTAATGTCATTTGCCTGCCTATATATAAATATATATATAGACCTTTTTACAATACGATTTTCCATAGCAACGGATGTTGCATTTCGCGCATGCGCATTCTGTGTAGGGCAAAACGCAATAACGATGTCTACGTACAGTCTATCATACGTTTAAGGCTTTAATAGATGCGATTTCTGTTTATGTCACCCAAAATCATTAATTTTGGGATGACTTAAGGCGGTAAGTTACTGAAACCTGAATTTATTTTTTTAAAGAATTCTTCTTTACGAAATGTGCGGGGACTAATAATCACAATGGTCAAAAAGGGCACACACATGTCGTCTTTTTAAGGTATCATTAGACGACTTTTCCATCAGTACTTTAAATTGAAACGAGCAGGGTGTTATAGATAAAACTTTATTACCCCTGTATTAAAAATATTACAACAATTGTATTGTACACTTCCTTATTGAATAACTGGATTGGTCAGGCGGCAAGTGTCAGACAGATTGGAAGCATCACCGGACTTTTAAATACCATAACAAAGTTAATTTAGTTACGCTTATTGAATTGGTAATTTAATAAGTAATAATAATGGTAACTTTTAAATATACGCCGATCAATTGTTAATGGATTTAGAGAAGAGAAAAAATGTGTTTGACTTGCATTATTATTAAAATATCATGTTTACGAAGAGTGGAATAAAATGTGTGTTATATCTCTTCCAAACAACCCATCTTTTGAAGAAAAAAAATAATTGAAATCTATTTATGTGACTTTTTTTTCTGTTTGCATCACATGCAAATCGGATAAAGGATATATATAAGATACATTTCCACATCTTTAAAAATATGATCTCAGTGTCAGGTCCGTGATCGTAAATTCTTAAACAAGTATCTTTTCCATGCCTTTTTATGACATTCTTCGCCACAAAGCGTTAAGTGTGTGTAAGTCATCTTTTCTATATTTGTTAAAAGCTATTTCATATAATTTTCTACCGTTTATCTTGAACTAACTCGGTATTGTCTATGAACGTCTACTATATTTCTATGTAGGGCGAAGTATTTTCTGCCCTACGCAGATTGCGCATGCGCGGAGAAAATTCTAATTCCGGTCGATTTTTTCATAGCAACGGACCGCGTCGTAAAAATGTCTATATATATATATATATATATATATATATATATAGATATATTATATGAAATAAAGAAGTCGATGAGCGAGAAATTATACATGGAAAAATCGGCACCGCCCGCAGCCGGGACTCGAACCACGGGTTCTCTGGATTGCCGGTCAGTATTTTTGCTAAAACCACTACACAACAGCGGCCGTTGACTTTTTCTTTATGTCTTTTTGTTCGAGTCCCGACAGCGTGAAAACTTGAAAATGTGTTGCTAATCGCACAGCTTCTTAAAAAGATTTAATTATCTATTTCCTTTTTTCAGAAGTACTCTTGAGCGATACCGCATTTATTTAAAGAAGAATTAATAAATTATCTCCAAATTGATTAAAAAGTTCATCTTAACTTTAACTATAGATAATATGATGGAGATGTATGGCTTTGCCAAATCTCATTACAAAAACAATAAAATTGTATTAATAAAAATGTTAAAGTGTGAAGTGAATTATTCAAAACTTAATGCTTCTTTTTATGTTATATTATATTACAGCAACGACCAACAAGGAAAGGCGCTTATCACTTAATGCAGCCCCCCCCCCCCACCAATTTTATGTGTTTGACTGAAATACATAACTGAATAGTACAATGTATTTAGTGTAGCATTTTGAGGTTTGAACACAGTTGGGTAATAATTGTTCATGGTCAAAAATATATTTAGTCAGTACAAAAACTTTTTTATGATACAACAACATTTTAATGCAAGCAGAATTTAAAATGCGATAAAAAAACCCTAAAAGAAATGCTGTTTACGTTTTACAAGCAGCAAAAAGGGGTTTTTTACCCCAAGTCCTTAAAATACAGATACTTTAATAATGTATGTTGTGTAGTGTCTAGTTAAGGCAGTCAATGACAATCACCAGCTTTATTTGATATAACATATAAAAGATAATGAATAATAGACATAATAGATATTTACAAAATATGCATATTTTAATTGTGGAGAGAATTAAGCTTAACATTAAAAAAAGGATGCAGGCGGAGCATCGACTTTTAAGATATAGAAAGAACATGGGATTCTTTTATGTGAAGAAGCTATAAAGATAGCCTATTGAAGGTCGGTACATCTACGCAGGTGCCCATTCGTGCCTGAAATAATGCATGATGGGTTATCTGGGGTCTTCCTCCACCGGTAAAGCTAGAAGTCAACGTATACCCTTTACAGTGTCAGTTTGACTAAAAATCTATCAAAAATCCAACAAAACAAAGGGACGAAAAAGTCACCACTGACATCTACGCTAAATATTCCGAGTTTAAAATGAAGCATTTTCAAACCATGTGAACTGGTAAGTGCATAGCCATGATAGATGCGAGGATATTTATAAAAATAACAACAAAAATATAAGTACCAATGAAACAAGAG